GAAGGGCAGGACACTTAATCCTTATCTCAGGGTTGCCAAAAGGCTGAGTCTCAGGCCGGCCAGAAGCATCAGGAAGGATGCTGTGGTTTTTCATTCATTAACAGCTAATGCCAGCACACTCCGGCCCGTGGGCTGCGATCAGTCACCATGAAGCACACGGTTGGCGGGAGAGGCAGAAATTAATCAAATAATCATGCAGTGTCCCCCGGGTTCACTTCATGTGAGGGGGGTGCTGAGAAAAAGATGAACAAAAAAATGCTGGGAGAACCATGGGAGGCTCTGTGCTCTAATCAGAGAAGTGAAGGAACTTTCCAGACGCAGGGAGGGTTGGAAGAACATTCTAGATGGGGGGAGTTTTCCGAAGAGAGAAGACATTGTGTGTAAAATCTGTCTCCTTGGGGAGGCGATGGTAAACAGGACGGCCCGGCCATGCCGTCCGACCGAGGTCAAGTGCTGGCAGGGGACAGTGACGTGGCCGCGGGGCCACGGAGCTCTTCTCGGACGTTTTCTTCCCATTCTAAATGCACCGGGAAAGTGTCGACAGGACGGGGGTCGGGAGCGCTGGACACCGTTTTATTGAGAAAAGAGTTCTCTGCGTGGCCGGGGCGCCGGAGACGATGTCGCATCTGACGCAGGCCGTCCGAGGACTGAGATGGAGGCGGCGTAGGGGGGGGACGTTGGCCAACGAGGACGTCCGCACGGAGCCACAGGGAGCGACGTCAGTGACGGGCTGGAGGACGCGATTTCGAGGATGATACCGAGGTTTCTGCTTTCACAGCGGGATGGCCGGTGACACCTCAACCAGGGCAGAGACAAATGCCCGCTGGCTCGGAATGACAGTTTGGGGAGAAAGATCATGAGTTTAATGTCCGTCTCCGTTCCCCACCGGTTATCACGCAGCGTCCCCCGGGGTCACTTCCTAAGCCTGTCCGGCCCCTTGAATCCTCGCTGCATCGCCAGAGTTCTAAAGACTTTGCTAGATGCCCTGGTGACATCATGGGACACGTCCCATTATAACTACATGGGACAGAATAAAACATGTAAAGTCAGAGGAAGAAGCACACGCCACGAAAGACCGCAGGCAAAGCTGAGTGTGGTTCTCTTACACACGTGACGCACAAAAGCCTTAGGCCGCGACCTCTCCTGGCTCTGTGTAGGAATCCGGCTTCTCAGAAACCGTGTCCTCACGAAGAACTTTTGCCCACGCCGGTGGCCCGAGCAGCCTGTGGCCTCAGAAAATTTCCCAGAAAAGCAGCCACGAGGCTCGGAGTTGGGCAGGGTCTTAACAGCCGTGACAACTCTTTAGCCATCGGTCTGTAAGACAGCAAGTGGGGGTGTCACTGTGGGTCCCCATGGGCAAGGCCACCCATGGGGTGTTTAGCAGGAAACACTCCTCCTCGGCATGGGCACAGGTGTCCTGATGGGCAAAGACAGACTTGGGGAGAGGAGTCGGGTGACAATGACGCCTCGAAGGGGGTGCCACCAGGCCTCTCTACGGGGCTCATAGAAGCAGACAGACAAACGCTTTATGGGAAATTCTGTTCTCCAAATCTTTAAAAATGATACGAAATTTCTCCTCCCTTCCAAATATAGCACATTTGATCCCATGTGGTTAACCAAAAGACAGAGACGGAGGGAGAGGGAGGGAGGGAGGGAGGAGGAGAGAGAAAGTGAGAGAGAGAGAGAGAGAGAGAGAGGGAGCGGATATGAGGGAGGGAAGGAGGGAGGGAGGGAGGGGGAGGGAGGGAGAGACAGCGCGTCCACATCCTGCAGACTTCCCAGGACGCAGGGAGCAGCATCCCCACGCGAGGCCCACGGCACCGCACACGCGTCTCAGCTAAGATCCCACTGCAACCGACGCCGCGGACTCCGCGGGAGACGGGCCAGCGGGAGATGCTCTCTGGTCCGTTAAAAGCTGCAGGACCGACCTAGTGGGGCCCGTTTGGCAACTGGCATCAGAGCTCGTCCCCTATGCGATCGTTCGTGATCTACGTTACTGGCGTAGGAAACAGTCTGACTCGCTGAGATCCAAACAGGAAGTGATTGTACTTTTCCTCCGCTGCTGGTCCAGCCGTTTCGGCCTCTCTCGTCGATTCCAAGACATGCGTTTTATAAAACGTATTTGAACATCGCCACGATCAGAAGGCATCTTGCAGCTGACAGCGCGTTCAAGCCGATTAAAATAAGGGCCCAGCACACTCGTTCAGTTCTCGTGTTCCGTGTCTTAACAATAAGCGCGCAGGGCGGGTCTCGCGGCCTCATGGTTACTTCGGGTTGAAACAAAAGGATCCTCCCGGCTAAGTTCACACTTGACTCCCACGTTCGGTTTCGCTTGTTTCACCTCCTTTTTCTGGCAGCCGGCAGGCCTGTGGCCACGTGATTTGCAGAAAGGGACTGTTTCCTTCAGATCCTGCTCCGTCTCCGACCTTTGGGCCTCTCCTTCTCTTTTTCCTCTCTTAGAAGAAGAATCAGGATGTGTGTTCTATCGTCCACGCTTTTCATTACAACCCAGTGTGTTTACGCCAGGGATTGAATTCTTGCTTATTTCATTTATCTCACGAAGGTTGGATGGTCAGTGCCACGCTAGACAGGTTAAGTCGTTGCTAGAACTACCAGTTCGCCGTTGGTCTTGGCCACTAGGCAAAATCCCTTTTTCTTATTTATTATCGTCATTGTGTTTTGATATCCACTGGCAGTGACGGACGGGGGTCACAGACCAGGGGTCCCAAGGGCTCTGGGAGCGGGGCGATGCTGGCAGGGAGTGCGTGGTCCAGGGGCCCTGAGGTCACTGGGAGCGGGACAATGCCGGCAAACCTGTTCGAGCAGCAGCCCCTTCCCCTGGCTCAGCTCCACGCCGGTGAGACTAATTTTTGTCTGGATCTGCATTCATACAAAGACGGAGGCGCGGCTTTATCGAGTGACGCAGATTTCCTTGCTTCACACCTAGATTTTCGAAAGACAAGATGGCAGAACGCAGGAATGTATTTTCAGAGCAAACGATGGAGGTGTAGCAATATTCCCCCTTGGGTTCCTGTAACAGGTTCTGTGACCGCTGGTGCTATTTATTTAACCGGTAGGCGTTTCCGTCTCCATCGTCCCCGGCCTGTCCCACAGCACGAGCTCCCCGAGCATGTTTCCATCTCCTACCCTTGCCAACCCCCAGTCTGCTGGCCGCACCCCAGCCTCCCGTGTAGGTCTCATTCATTCATTCATTCATTCATTCACCGAATGTCACGTCTGGCAACCACTCCCTAGTCTTCACGGTTCACCATCGGAAGTCGGGTTTATGCCCTCGTCGGGGAGGCGGATGTGAATAAACAAATACCTCCCTGGACCCAGAGAAAACAAACAAGGGTCCAAGAGGGAAAAGAACAGAGAGGGGCCTCTTTTAAGTGGGGTGCTCGAGGAAGCCTCCCCGAGAAAGTGACATTTAAGCCGTTGCTTAGAGAAAATCGTGTAAAAAGTATTTTATTTACAAACGCTTTTGCAAAAAAAGGAACAGCCTCACTTTTATGGAGTCGATGTCCTGTCTCTGAGAGATCGAAAATGATAAACATGCATAGTAAAAAAGATGGCAGAAAGCAGAGAAGCAGGAAGGTTAGTAAGGCAGGTAAGGAAAGTAGGTTGAACCTCGAGATGGGTTCAGAACATAACCTGTCACTTCCTAGCCGTGAGAGCTGGGCCCTTCACCTCACCTCTCTGAATGTCACAGATGAGAGGAATTAATAGCATTATCTATCTCAAACGTTGTACAAGTTGCATTATGCAATTAAAGAGCTCAGCGTAGTTCTGTGGTAACAGCCCAGTAAGTTAGCTCTAATCATCATCATCATGATAAAATCATAATTATAACAAAGATCTCATCATCATGTTATTATCTAGAATTTAAGATGTGGGCTTATTTCTGTTTGCACAGAGGGTGTATGTGTGCAAATTTGGCTCTGCGGCTCCCAGCAGCCAAAGGAAGAGTAAAATAAATAAGTTCATAAATAGGAAAAGATTTATTTAGTAAAGTATAAGAATTCTACGCTGGTGCTTCCTACCTGGGGCCTGAGGGGTTGTGGCAAGAACATTGACCACCCAGACGCCCCCTGTAAACATTATCTACAGTTCAAATAACCGTGCCTTGTAAGTGTGCGCACTGTTGTTTTTAAATAAACCAGATATTGCGATACCGATCCCAGTTCATTTAATTGTATTGCTGTGAATTCACGGTGGCTTTTTGCCAGTATCCATTTTCCCAATTTATGGACTTACTAAGGACCGGGTCAGAACCACAAAGGACATTCTATGTTCATTTGTTATCTTTCCATCGAAAAGCTTAGGAAGCATTGCCACGGGGAGGGGGGGGGGAAGGTTAACTTGTGTAAAAGACAGCTCTGGGTTTTTATTGCAGGGTCCCCTCATCAACCAGGATTATCTCAAGTCAGAGCAGCATCGCTTTCTCTGAAGAATTTGCCGTAGCGGAGGTGACATCCTGATTTCGCCTCTGGTCCCAGAAGGAAGGACATCAGTGAGAGATTCGGGGCAAACCCGCTACACTCTCTGAATGCTTTTGCATAGGGAATGGGTATGGCTGCTCGAACTGCCATATTGCCACGTTTCGAATGCCCTGGTGGTGAATGAGGACGTTTGTCAAAAATAATCCATAGCTAGCCGTTCCCTCCTTCACTCGATCATTCGCGATCAGACGCAGGTTATTTCCTCCTGATTCCGTGAGAGGATCACCTCGCCTACCCCCCATTTTGTTATGCCCAAGCTGAATCTTTTGTTTTGCTTTGTTTTTTTTTATCTCTTAGGTAAGAAAATTATCGATGATTTGGGGAAAGAGAGGTGATAGTTTTTAAAAGTCGTCATGAGTATTATAAGGGAGCATGATCAGGATATTAAAAAAACATCTTTGGAAGGGAAAAAAGTCTTTAAAAAACTCCCACTTGGTCTAATGACTCGAATTAAGGAAGTTAAGATGGCTTTGCCCGGACTTTGAACAACTTTCTTGACTTCCTGCAAAGGGGACCTTTTACATTATTTTTGCAGAAGTTAGTAAAACCGAATCTGACATCACCACCTAGCAGCCCGTGGAGCTGGCGAGCGGTTTGGTCTTAGGGTGACAGAGGAGGAAATTGCTCCCCGCCCGACAAGGCAAGAGGACGTCTTCATTTCTTTTATTTCTGATTCGGCTTCGCAGAGCAAAACTCTCGCGGAGATAAATCATTACTTTGCCTTTTCAGACGGACGCATGCGGTTTCCCAGGAACACGGCTGCTTTCCAGAGATGACCATGTACCTGTGGCTTAAACTGTTGGCCTTCGGCTGTGCCTTTCTGGACATCGGTGCAGGTACGTGTGAGGGGGTCATGCCTTCCTTGGCTGTGCGTTGCTCGTGGAGAGATTTTGGGTTGAAACAGACAAAAATAAGTGAAGGGTTGGTGACCGAAAGTGAAGAAGCCCACTGAGAAACGGTCAAGGTGGTGGCAGGGGAGACAAACGTGGCTCACGAGGTGACAGAACACGCTGTTTCTGTTCAGAAAGGCATAAATATTTGGGGGAGTAAAAATCGAGATTTATGAAGCAAACTTTGTATCTTTGTTTACCATCTTCGCGAGCGCGTTAAAAAGCAACGTTGCTCCTTCGCTCCCGAAACGGCGTGAACGTGAGTTTCTGAAAGTCAGAGCATTTTAATGACAAAATAAGTGAATTCTTATCCTTTTCACAAAAAAATAAAATTTTAAAAGTCACATTATGGCTTTGGTGGCATGTAAGCCACACCCTCTCCTCGGCTGAGAGGTTGCTTCCTCAAATTTTGATTACTGGTGAAATATTTATTTGAACACTTACTTCCATGATAGCTCAAAGTAATGCATTTGGCTTTTAGAGAAACTGTTAGCTTTTTGTCTATCGTTATCACAGAATGTGGTCTAAATCAAGTTTTTGGTTCCTTACTTATAGTTTTAATTCTTATTTGCTTTGGAAATTCTCATGAGGCCACCACCCTTCCTGGGTGACAGGAGATGTTAGAACCTCGACGAGATAAAAATACACAAACTCAACAATCATGCAAATGCCGTATTCTGTAGGAAAATGTGACTAATTGGACTTTAGGTAGCTATTTAAGTTTGAAGTCTTTGTACACTTCTGGTCAACTTAGTGGACATTTTTGGGCGGTTTCATTCAGTTCGGATCATGAGTACATTTTCGTTGATTACTAAATGTAGCTAATAAATTGATGTTTAATATTACTCTTTATAATGTAGTCTCTAAAGCTGTATTTTTTAACTTTTGAAAGAACATTCAAATTGATTTTTTTGGTAGAAATTCCAAGTAAGTAAAAAAAAGGAGAAAATTATTTTTTAAAACCTTGCTCGTTGGAATTCACTTTGAAATTTTTTTAACTTGACATCACTTTCCTCTCCTCTAAAAAGCAGGGCGGCAGCTGCCCCCCGAGCATGTCCTGTTGTTGATTTATATTTTATGTAACCACGGAGAGTGGAAAGCAATGTGAGAGTGTTGTGTTTTTTTAACTGCAAAGATTTGATATTTTTACATAGGTACGTACAGCATGTTGTCTTAGCACAGAAGCGTTGATCAAGTTCCCATCCCTATAAGGTTGCTTATCATAATCAAAAACAAATGATAAAGAATGATAATTTTAATAGGGTGATAACATGTGTATTATCATAAACCAGAGTAAATTTCCATTTAAAATGCCCACCCAGGAACTGTTGCAAAGCATTTCTATAGGAGTGTCAAGGAATACGAAAATTTTTTATTGGCCACAGAGCAACAAAATTTTCAATTCAGCTTCCCATAGTAAACATCTTGAATTATAATCAAAATAAGAGTATAATGAAATATACTCTCGAAATATACCCCTGAAATATAGTCTTAGTTTTGGAAAAAAAATATATAGATATAATATGTAAAAAATATATGAAAAAAAATATATAGATAGATATAATATGTATCTGCAAATCTGGTTTATCGTGCTTTCAAGTTCGGAGAGACATTTTGTGATTCAACATCTCACTTGGGAAGTTATTAATGCCTTAAATTGTGTTTTCTGTGTTAGCAACCAATGAGTTAGATTACGTTTTATTTTCGTGTGTTAGATTTGCGTTTAGCGTTTATAGAAAATATTAACTTTGGGGGTATCAAACTTATATACTCTAAAGACATAGAAAAATAAGGCCAAATATGGGGAGACATCAGTGGATAAATATGCACACAACTCAGCTGTGTGTTACATCTGTAACACACAAGCAAGTTAAACCTCATCCAGGCGCCAGCAACGCTGGGCTGAGCTTTACACAAGTGTTTGCAACCTCTTTGTCCTGTGCCTCTGTGCTGTGAAAACGGGAAACCAGAACTCTGTTTAAAAGGTCTAAGTAACTCTAGGGGACAATGGCGGTTGCCAGAACGCGGGCAGTGATGAACGCTCGCTGGCTGTCACAGACGTGGCAGACTTCTCGCTGGGCAGCAGCCACCGGCGTGGGTTTCACTGCGTGAGTTATGAGTCACGGCAGCTAAGATCCATTTCCTGGACATAATTCTTCATTTTCCCATCTGCATGAAATGGAAATAGCTCCATGTTCTATGTCTCGCACAGCACAGGGGCTCCGTACCGATTATGAGATCAATGTGATAGGCGATCCGATCAAGTTCCAAATATTCTCCAATGTAGAGATGTGGGGGTGTGAGTACGATGATCGATTTTTAAGGTATTTCCCTAAGAAAAACCTTATCACGACTAGAATTTAAAATGCGTTTTGTTAGGGGACAGGTAAGGTGGGCTTAGGGGTCTTTCTGGCCTTTTTTTCTCTTGCTCTGTGAAACTATAAGCACAGGTCCAGGTGGGTCTCTTCTCTGACCTGGGCTACTTGACATTCTGTCACCAATGACACTGAACTAAGTAAGGTAGGAACATAGAGATTTCTATACTGTTCACTCACACACACACACATACACACACTAGTTATACATGTGTGTTATAGATACTAGTTACATAACACACACAAATATATTTATATTTATACATAAATAAATATACGTATATTTTATATGTAGTTATAGAATACACACGTGTATCTATCAGTCTACCAATTATCTATCTACTGGTTCTCCATATCTGTCTACTTTTAAATATCGGGGTTCTCGGCCCTTTAATTCTTGGCCAGTCACTCTTTATCTGACACTTGGAGTTCCTTGTCACGACCTGCCACTTATCGATGCTCCGTTTCTCCATCCGCAGACACCGCTCGGAGGTGTGGAGCCTACCTCCTTTTCAAAATATCATCTTGCTTGATCTTTGCCATAATAATACCACCTGGAATATAGATTTAAATGCTCTCCGAGTCCTATAATTCTGCTTTTAAGCATCTCTGAGATCATTTCCATCTTCTCCATCTCCGTCGCCATCCCCCGAACTCGCGCCCTTGTCATTTTTCGGCTGGAGCGTCGCAATCGGTTTTCAATCCGTCTGAAGTCTCATCCATTCCTTCCCACGCTCACAGCCTAAAGATATAAAATAGGGCGGAGAGTGTGGGGGGGACACTCTGCCATCTGCACATTCTGGAGCTTTTGCCAGAGCAATGGGGAGCACCCAGGAGCGGGGGGCTGGGCCTGGAGCTGAGCGGGGACCTTTTTCTCTTTCTCTCTGATGACTGATTAAAATGGAAGGAGCGGGACGCAGTCTCGTCACTCACTCCCCTGCACCCCCTCAAGGCCACGAGGCTCTGCGCACATCCTGTCTCCTCGCTCCTGAAAGCACACACTTTCTACCGCGTTTCCTTGGCGTTGTTCACATGCGCTTTCGGTTGGTGGTTGTTGCTGGTTTTATTACTATTATTTTATTGACCAATCAGTGTACTTACTGCCATTGCAACCCGTACAAAAGCAGAAGCTATGTCTTATGCCTTTTTTGGTTACCATCTGTACTTAATTCTTTTACTGGACACTGAAAAAGTAATGATTTTTTTTAAAAAAAACAAAACTGCCGATTATAATAATAGAGGAGAGGGAGGAAGAGGACGAGAAACGTTTCAGAAAGAGGACAATAGGAGGGAGAAACAAGAGATAAAAAAAAAAAAAACAGAGGCAAAGTAGAGTGATGGCGGCAATTAGAAAGTTTATCAGAATAATTTTGCATCTGGATCTTGATAGGATGTGTCTTTTTTCCTTTTCTTTGTGTTTTTTTTGTTTTTTGTTTTTGTTTTTGTTTTGTTTTGTTTTGTTTTGTTTTGTTTTGTTTTTTGCTATTTCCTTCTTTCATCTCCTTAATTTACTTCTTATCTGGAAAGATTCTTAACTTCTTAAAAACCTGTAGTTCAGAAAATCTGTCCCCAGATTTCCCTGGACTTACTCTTCGGCTATGCTCGCTAATGGCGTTTCACCTGCTGGGTTGGTTCTTCAGATACAGATGCTAACAGGAAGGACAGCAAGGACTAGGGCCAGAGACTCACCGGCGAGGGGGACGAGACATTTAAATGGAGCCAGGTGCAGCCTCGCAGTGCCGGCCCGGGCCCCCATGCTCGAGCTGTGAGGCCATCTCCGAGGGCAGAGGGGAGATGGCACCCCCTACACCTCGCTTTGTGTGCACAAGGACATTTGTAGAGAGTCTGGGCATCGTCTCTTACCAGATGGAGTGATAATGAATTTCAATCTGAGTAATCAAGAGCAGAGATTTGGAGTCAGGCTGATCAATTTCGTCGATGGAGAGCACAGCATTGCTGTAGACAAGGTTTTGAGTTGGGACCTCATGTGTGTCATCACCTTGGTGCAGGAAAAGAAATCCGTCTTCACGCAGACCTTTGATCTTTTCCAGTCATACGTTTATGGGAATAATTACACAGGAGAACATTGGAATGGACATGTAACTTAATCTCAGTTTAATCGTGATTTCCATCTAGTTTAAATAGCTTTATCAGTAATGGTCACCGTACTAGTTGCCTATTATCAAAGGGTTAGTGCTACAGCTTTCGCACACATGAAGGTATGCAAAAGGGAGAGATAAGGGGAAAAGTAGAAGATCAGTTAGCGACATGATGTGATTGCTACCTGTTTCTCCAGAACACTGAAATACACAGAAAGTAAACAATGGTAACTATTAGACTTTGTGTACATGGCCCTACCCAATATTTAGAATAGAAAACGTCTAGTTATTGCTTAAAGTCTTTACTACCCGTTCCCTTTTCTATGTCAGTGTGACACTTCGATTTCAGTCTGTCTTGAGTCTGAGGAATGGCTGTTTTAAGCAGAGGACTGTGTGTTCACTAATCACAACGAAAGCAAGAAAAAAATAGAGAAAGATAGAAAAACTCCCCTACGCTTTCAGCCAGGACAAG